GGGGCCAGGGCGACCCCCCGCGAGCCTCGCCCAAGCCAGCCGACGTATCTTTGTGGCAGGCAAAGACACACACGAACAGCAGCCGGACGAGGTCACAACACCCTTGGCGCAAGCAGGCTGCAGCCAGCCAGCTGCACACAGAGGGCTGCTTATGCGCAAGCCCCAAACAAACAGTCGGAAAGAACAGCCGCCCTGCATTCAGCCTCCCCACTCCTCTCTCCAGCCAGCAGACTCCGCCCGGCCAGGAGAAAGCAGCTTTTTGTCCCGGATCCCCACACGTACAACCCAATCTGTGCTCTGGTTGGGCTCTAGAACAAGGGGGCCTCTTCACCAGGTAGGTTACACCCCGTCTCTGAAGCTTTAGCCGTGGCACGGCCTTTAGCCACCGGAGTTATGGCTGGTGCCAAATCCTAGTGCAGGCATAAAGCTTTACACTCATGCAGGGTCTCGTACGGGCCCCGTTCACTCACTGCACAGCCTGTATAACAGGGTGGGCAAAAGGGCCTCCGCGGGCCAGATGAGGCCTGCCAAGCAGGTTGATCCGGCCCACAGAGGTCCTGCTGCTCCCCCACCCCCAGGCCAATCCGGACCTAGGGACAGGAGTGCGCGTGAGACTTAAGTTAACTCTGGTGGTTGACTCTAAGCACCACACGCCACAGGGCAGGGAGCAAGAGATTTTGCGCTCTCCCCCACCTCCAGGCCAATCAGGGCCTGAGGGTGGGGGAAGCACACAAAATCTCCTCCCATGCACTCCTTGCAGGGCAGGGCATGAGGAAACTCGGGGTGGGGAGGAGGGAGCGCGAGAAGTCTCCCGCCGCCAGGGGCGCGGGCACCGAGAAGGAACTGGGAGCTGTTCTGAACAGCACAGAGCAGGGGTGGGGAACTTTTTCGGGTCGGGGGCCGCTGACCCACAGAAAAAACAGTTGGGGGGGCGCACACAAGTGAGAAGCCCCTGAATGAGAAGGAGAAAGATGCTCCACATCCCCCTTGCACACGAGCGCGAGAAGTCTCCCGCCGCCAGGGGCGCGGGCACCGAGAAGGAACTGGGAGCTGTTCTGAACAGCACAGAGCAGGGGTGGGGAACTTTTTCGGGTCGGGGGCCGCTGACCCACAGAAAAAACAGTTGGGGGGGCGCACACAAGTGAGAAGCCCCTGAATGAGAAGGAGAAAGATGCTCCACATCCCCCTTGCACACCAGAGCCTGAAGGGGCCCAGGCTAGATTTTGGGTGCTCCAGTCCTGCAGGTGGGTGGCAGGGGGGCTGGAGCGCCAACGTGGGTTCCCCAATGTGGGGGGGGCTTCGGGGGCCGGATCAAGGCAAGCCAAGGGCCACATCTGGCCCCCGGGCCTGAGGTTCCCCACCCCTGCTATACAGCATCACCTGACTTCAGGACCCAACCTGGAAAGGTCGGGAGACCACCCTACAGAGGAACCTCAATGGGACAGGAGGTCGGGGGTGCCTGCCTCCTCTTACGGAGGCCCCACCCGAGTCACCAGCCACAAGGCAGCAGCTGTGGGCAGGAGTGCGTTGTGCAGCTGCTGACAGCAACGTCCTTGGAGGCTAGTGACATGCAGGCTGTCCCTGGCCAAGTGGTGACATCAGCCTTCAAACCACACGCTCAACCCTAGGGGAAGAGGAGCTCCTGGAACGGGGAAGACACCATACAGCAAAACTGTCTGTTTCACTAGGGAAAGTGGGTGTCCTTCTTCAGTGCACTTGGTCACTGCAGGGACGATGGTTCAGGCTGATCTTGTGGCGAAAGCACGAGGCTGGAACTCGGGAGAATTGGGTTCTAGGAAAGACACTTAAAATCACTCCGCGTCTCAGTAAAACTCCTCCCACGTTCTGTTCTGTCTGTGTAGATTGCAAACCAGAGGTGGGCAAACCGAGACCCATCAGTGTTCTGTGTGTGGCCTGTGAGACAATCTATTTACTCTAGCCCACGCCAGAGTCCATTGGCTTCCCTCCACATATCGTTTTTTCCTGGCTGATCTCAGCTGGTGACTTGGGGTGTTACTATTATGGTTTGTAGTATGGTAAGTGTTAGTAACAGGTGACATCGCTGCATTAGCTTTGCTATTAAATCCAACAACCACCACCCCTGCCAACAACTTGGGGGGACGATTTGAGAAAGAATGATCGAAGTGGGGGATTAGCTGAGAAATAGGCAGGTTCTGCAGTCTATTGAAACGTCAAGTCGATTTAAAAAAAAACAACAACCCTCAGACGACATGTTTGCACCTCCGTGCAGAGAGAGAGATTAAAGATATCACTGATTAGCTCATGTCTCTCCTGGAAGAACTGCTTGCATAAAAATACTCAGCTATAATTCCCTTACCATAACAAGGTGTCAGTGTAGAGAAAAAAGACAGCGGTATGCTCTGGTTAGGAAATTTAAGCCTATTAGAGGAGAAATGTAATTTAAATCACATCCTAATCAGGATCAAAATAGCCAAACCTCTTCTGTCTTTCTTATCTTCCCTTGCTCCTCAAGCACACTGATACACCACGCCCTGCAGCTAAATGACCTAATTCTCCATTGCATTCACTAGAATGTCTCCAACAAGTGCGTCATGTCATGTAGTTAGGTTTGGGGGCTTTTATTATTATTATTATTATTGTTTTATCCCTTGACCAACTAAGATGAATGACAGTTTCCAGACACGGAGAGACAGAGCCATGCGGGGCATGAGAATTATCATGGCCACAAACAGCGTGGGGATATCAAAACTCATTGCTACAACACATAGAGCGATTATAGACTCTTCACCCCCACTCCAATCTGTCTGCATAGAACCGTTGCCTTCGCTTGCATTTTGACACACTGGGGGATGACAGGAAGAAACACACTTTCTATTTTTAGAGGCAGGCAATCTTCCATTTGTATGTTCCTATCTGGACTCCGCTCCGGAGCTTGTCCAACAGCAGCACCCTAATCAAATATTCCCAGCATTAATTCTACCTTGGAATCAGGCATAAACTTTTCAAATATCTTCATCTCGAATACTTCAGAGGCCAGTGGTGACGGTTT